TTTGAGAAACTCGAAGTCTGGAAATTGGTGGAGCTACCGAAAGGAAAGAAATCTCTCAATACTCGTTGGGTATTTCAAAATAATCAAGACGATTCAGGTGTCATTGTGCGCAACAAGGCAAGATTGGTGGTTCAAGGGTTTCGGTAAATTGAGGGTCTTGATGATACAGAAGTTTATGCTCCAGTTGCTCGTTTGGAAGCCATTCATATCTTCCTTGCTTATGCTTCTTACATGAACTTTATTGTATACAAAATGGACGTTAAGATGGCTTTCTTGTACGGCAAGGTCAAGGAGGAGATTTACGTTGACCAACCACCTGGTTTTGTTAACTCATCTCTTCCAACTCATTTTTACAAGTTAGACAAAGCTTTGTATGGATTGCATCAAGCTCCTGGAGCTTGGTATGCTACTCTTACTCAGCATTTGCTCAATCATGGCTATTCCCGAGGAACCATTGATCAAACCTTATTTGTCAAGCATGTCGGTCCAGATCAAATTCTCCTTCAAATTTATGTGGACAACATCATTTTCGGGTCGACAAGCCAACAACTTTGCAAGAAGTTTGAAGCGGTAATGAAGAAGCATTTTGAGATGAGTTCACTTAGGGAAATGACCATGTTTTTGGGGCTTCAGGTCAAACAATCTTCAACCGGAATCCTTATTCAACAATCAAAATATGTGGAAGATGTACTGGAGAAGTTCGGGTTTTGAGATGCAAAATCTGCTCTCACACCCATGGCGGAATGACCTCTTCTGACTCCTGATCTTGAGGGTGAATCCGTAGATCAAACTCATTATCGATCAATGATCGGATCACTCATGTATCTTACTGCTAGTCGCCCAGACGTCATGTTTGCGGTCTGTCAATGTGCTCGCTACCAGGGTAATCCTAAACTCTCTCATTTAATTGCTGTTAAAAGGATTTTTTGGTATCTCAAAGGGTGCCCAAAACTGGGTCTTTGGTATCCGAAAAATCCCGAATTTAATCTTTATGCTTTTGCAGACAGCAATTATGGTGGGTGTGAGCTTGATAGAAAATCGACTTCAGGAGGATGCCAATTTCTGGGAGATAGAGTGGTGTCATGGCAGTGCAAGAAGCAACACACAGTCTCAACCTCAACAACAGAAGCGAAATATGTTGCTGCATCTGCTTGTTGTTCTCAAGTCATTTGGATCCAACATCAGTTGTTGGACTACGGTTTGAATTTTCAAGAAACCCCTATTTTTTTTACAGTGAGGCTGCGATTCAAATTGCCAAAAACCCGGTCCAGCACTCAAAAACCGAGCACATCAACATTAAGATTCATTTTATTCGAGAATGTTATGAGCGTTTGCTCATTCGGCTAGAACAAGTCCGTTCTGATAATAATCTAGCAGATCTATTCACCAAGCCTTTTAACAAAGCTCGATTCGATGTGCTGGTTAATTTTCTAAAAATGATTCGTTTGGAGGATTAATTTTTTTAATTTTTAATTTTTTAAAAATTTGTGCATTTTATTTCATTTTATTTTATGCACAGATTTAGGGGGAGAAAAATAGAAAATCCAAAAACATTAAAAAATAGAAAGTCGAAAAACATTAAAAAATAGAAAATCCAAAAACATTAAAAAATAGAAAATCCAAAAAACATTAAAAAAATAGAAAAACCAAAAATATTAAAAATTAGAAATTATGTTTGAGAGAGATGTTATGGGAAGTGATATGATCATGTAATAACAAACAACCCGAGTTTGTGTAACGTACCCAAAGTTGAAGGGTCTATGCTTTGGTTTAATGTGTCGGTAGGCACGAAAGATTCTAAATGGACATGACTAGGCAGAATTGAACTTAGGAAATCAAATGACTTGACAAATCTTGACCTAGATAGTTCCGTTTAGCCTGAAAATACGATGCTCGGATAGGTTGAGCAGGGAGATATATATGGGAATCTACTCGTCACATTAAATGAACCCGTGTCTAGAACCGTGGTTTAACTTTTCCTCCATGTGCGGATTTTGTCCTTAATTCCGGTGTTGATGGGGCGACTGGTAAATTCCGATAAATTAGGTCTGTAGAAAATCATTTTCTTTCTTTCTATCTGTTAGTCGTATGTTACCTGCTCTGCGTGATTGGAAGAGATCCGACCTGGACTGTAACATATGCAACTCTATTTCTTAGCATATTATACATATACATATATGAAATTCCTCTTATACGTTAGCCATATGTTGTCTCCTTTGCGTGACGAACAATCCGACCTGGTACACAACATATGCACTATAAGTGATAATACTCTGAATCTATCTTCTCCCCTAATGATGGTCTGCTCATCCGATGTAAGGAGTATTATGGAAGTCCTTAATTACCGGGGCATATCTGGAAGCGAGAAACATGTTCCAGTATAATTAAAATTGAACACTCAAAGATTGTCTATAGATCTCGCTGCTCAATTTAGGTGGACAACAATATCCCTGGTCGTTGTCAGCTAATGGTCCTTAAGATATAGTAAGATATAGTATCTACAAACTTAGGATCAGATATAATATCTAAGAATTTAAGATCACATTGCCTTGTAACTTATAGTATATCCTAGTTTTGTCACAGTTTTTCATGTTTAAGTGGACAACAATACCGACAATCGACCAGACAAAGATGTGAATATGAAAGGTACCGACAAGCGGATAATGGTCCTCTAAAAACTCTGATGCCTAATCCTCAACAGGTTAAAAAAATTTATATAGGTTTAAATTGATTCTTGTCATCAATCGAATTTTCAATCTCATTTTATTTTCTATTTATTTTTATTTTTATTTTTTATTTTATTTTATTTTATTTTTTATTTTTTATTTTATTTTAAATTTTTCCTTAAATCTTTGAAATTAAAATTCTATTAATCCTCAAAATAATTCATTTTTGAGAAAATTGTGAAGTGAAAGGGTTTTGGGATAAATAATTAAAGGAAAAGGGGGGGGGGGGAAGTGAATTTTTTTTGCATATATATAGTGTGCGTGTGCGGTGAAAAGCATACAGTCACTATTCCGCTTCAACCGCACACACATATAAACTCTGTCAATCTCTTTAAAATTCCATTAAATTTTTGTGAAAACAAGCTGTTCACTCAGTAATTTTGATGAACATGGTTGAATTTTTAATTATTTTCACAAAATTTTTATAGTTTGATGTTGAATCTTCATAAAAATTTATTTATCTTCAAGTGCAACCGCACACGGTGTAGGCGGCCGCACACGTTCGTGTGCGGCTGACCTTGTACAACTACATATGTGCGTGTGCGGCTATGTGTAACTCCGTGTGCGGCTACATCATTCTTATATGTTTTCATAATAATTTCATGTGTTAACTTTCAGATTAAAATGGGAGACATGGAGTTCGCTAAAGCTCAAAATTCTTCAATTTTTCTTGAAGATCCTCCTGCAGCCCACAGTGACTTGAAATTCATTGTGGATGGTTTGAAGAAATGATGCTTGGTTCATTGCTTAACTACAAATCCTGCCATCTACCAAAGCTTGATTAAGGGTTTCTGGAGAAATGCTGAAGTAAAGAAGAATGATCGAGGTGAAAAATTTCTAGAAACAACAATCGAAGACAAGAAAATTCTAGTTATAGAAAGCATCATCAGAGAATCTCTTCAAATTGAGGAGAGACCTGAGTACCTCATGGAAATTGAAGTTCAACAAATTGAGAAAGTTTTGGAGCATATGGGATACGAAGGAACTTTTCCTCCTACAATCAAAAAGCTACTTCCTCCATGCTGGAAGCTTTTGGCTCATGTGTTCGTGAGTTGCGTTTCTGGCCGGAGATCAGGAGCTAACGAGATTCGTCTAGCCAATACTGGTGCGATTGCTGCATTGGCAGCAGGTTTTGAGTTTAATTTCTCAAAATTCATAATGAATGAAATGATACTGAATATTGAAGGAAGCAAAAGAGACAAATTTTGTATGTACCCAAGATTTCTACAAATCATCCTTAACGTAACTCACCCCGAGTTGTAGAGAGGAAATGATAATCTAGATTTCGAATCCATTGGTCCAAGTGCCTATGGATTAATGAAGCAAAAGAGAGGCGGAAAATTTGTATTTGAAGGAAAATTTCCATTAATTAAATTTGGAATTTTTAAAGAGGGTGTTAGAGAAGAAGCAGCAGATCAATCCATGTTGATGGAAAATGAAGACACTCATCACTCTCCCTCCGAGCCTGTAGTGGAGGAGATTCATCACTCTCCCATAGCTTGTGTAGCTGATGAGCATGATTATCAGAAAGCAAATGATTCAATATCTTCTCGAGGGGATGATGACAATGATCTTTATGAAGATGTAGAGTTTTTGAAAGAAATCGAATTTACAAGAATTAATGATGACATTCCAACAAACATCGAGTTTGATTTTGGTGATGAAGATTTTGATCCTTTTCTTGATATTCCCAGCAGTCGTACAAATAAAGTCAATGAAGTTGCTTCTCTAGCAACCAAGACTAGAGAGGAAGGAAATTCTCTCAAAATTCTGCTCTCTACCACAAAGCCGTTGGAAATCACAACAAGCCAAGGAGATGTGACATCAGAGATTCATCCCTCTGTGTCACATGTCTCAACATCAACTCCAGTCATTTCTATGTTATATGAACCTCAGACTTCTCAGACCTCAATAAGAACAAGCCAATCTCTTGAAAGTCTGGAGGTACCCTGTGTGAAATGTGCTCCTCAAATTATTTCAACAATCACTACAACCACTGCTCACTCTCCCTCAAAGCAAACTGATGAAGGTCCAAGCACCATGTTCGAGACTAGTGGATACTCTTGTATTCTAGAATATTCTCCAACACGACATTATCTTGATGAAGCATCTATCAAATTAGTAAAACATTTAGCTCAATCTAGTCTAACCTCTTCACGCGGAAAAGGAATATCATTTAACGAGGGTCGGACAGATGATGACAAATCCTCTTCATCTCATCTCCGAGAAGAAATTGGAATTCTCCATCAATAGCTCATTGAAAAATCAATTCAGATGGATCAGCTTTCTGAACATATTTTTGAGCTCAGGGCAAAAGTTGAAGAAAAGACCAAACAAATCAAGGATCTACAAACGAGTCTTGGTTTAGTTCTAGCAAATTATTTCAATCTCAAGAACGTATTGTACGATGACTTTGGTGAGAAAGTTAAATCCCTTTTCCAACAGCCTCATGGAGTAGTTGATCCTCCTTCTATTCAATCACCTCTTGCAACTGATGATCTACCTGTTGAAAAAGAACCTGAAGAAAGCAGAGCCAGAATCACAATCAAGTAGGGCCAAACAATCACAAAACAAAGCGAAGACCATTTGTTCATGAAAAACTCTAATGAAAATCGCAAAACAAAAGACCCTGTCTTGATAGTAATAGATTTGAAGAAAAGAAAGTTCGATGATAAGTACGGTGATAGGACAGGCATCCGAATGTGGGCCTTTGATCCAGTGACGAAATTGTGGGTTGTAAAGCGAAAATCAGGAGCATCTGAATGTTACAAAAGCACCCATGATTTCAACTCCTGGACCAAAACTGATCTAGCTGAATTATCCAGGGCCCCATTCCATAACCCCTCTGAAGATCCAAATGCTTCAAATTTCAAAAGATTTCTCGACAGATAGGTCAAAGAGAACTTTCCTTTAATGAAGATTGCCAAAGCCCTATACAAAAAGGACAAAGATGTTCTTGATGCAGAAACAGGCGAACCCATGAAGATTATACATTGGCCTGCAACTAAGAAACACAAGGAAATTCCTATTCCTCAACACTTTTGTAACGACCAAAAAATTTCAACATAATTTAAACTTTTCAAAACAATTCATTTTAATAACATTATTACAAAATGGTTTTCAATACATTATTTATCCGAGTATTCCCAGGTCCATTTCATAAAACATAAACGCGAGGAACGGTACGATCACGCCTTTGCCTTGCCACAGTCTCCTGAAGAACCTAAAAAACATTAAACCACAATTGTAAGCCCGAAAGCTTAGTGAGATACCCCCAAAATACCAACCACATATACGCCCTTCCAGGCCACGACCTTCCGGTCCAAAACATATTGCCTTCCGACCCATAACATATTGCCTTCCGGCCCATAACATAAAAAGCATACATAACATAACAGAACATAGAACAGCCATGCATATCGGGTCAAACTCCAGTCCAAAAAGCCCTGTGTACATAATATTCAATCATATAACAGTTCACAGTCAACAAATCGATCAAACAAATCACATAACATATCATCACCCTAACCAGGATACCGACCTAACCGATCATGAGCATCACATCACCCTACGTCTCAGCCAAAATACTACTTACGCACATACGCCTTTCCAGGCCATGACCTTCCGGTCCACATAACATAGAATGCCTTCCGGCCCATATCATAATGCCTTTCGGCCTATATAATAATGCCTTCCGACCCATATCATAATGCCTTCCAGCCCATATCATAATGCCTTCCAACCTATATCAAGTAATACCATAACAGACAACTATCCGGATTTCCATCCGGTAAAGGGTCGGCCTTGGTGCCGTAGACCATCTCGATATAGTGAGGATAACTCACGTCGCAATTGCCGATACTCTGAACCGAAGAAGCAGAATCTCGAATCACCAACTCACCGCAAATCCTGAACTAACCATCATCACAAAAATAAACATAAGGTCAATCATACTTTCACTTATCGGGCCAATACCAAAGTCCAAATCTCACACAAAGTCCAATCATTGGCCCAATTTACCAAATTGGGCCCACCTCACCAAATGGGCCTATATCCAAAGACCATAACAATAATTGGGCCCAAAACACTTTATTCATAATTTCCCCGACTTGGCCCAATAACCAACAACCCACAATTAGCCCAAACTCAAAAGCCCAAAATGAAAGTCCACAGGAGGAGTACGCTGGGCGTACTCTCCTTGGTACGCTGGGCGTACTGCCATGATCACCAAAAGAAAACGGGCCATTGGCCCGTTACGCGGGGCGTAACTGCGAGATCCATTAACCCTTTCTAACCTCTTAATGGCTTAAGCTCTTAAGCCCAAATTTCAGATTAAAAGGTCAAATATGATTAGAATTCATAAAGTCTCAGACTTTATCACTTGGGAGGTCCTTAAGCCCTGAATCCAAGGTCTTAATCCATTAAGACCTATATATCTCATACATGGAATAGCTACAACCCTTGGGACCTCATTTTTATCACTTAAGACCTCTCCAAAGGTCTGAAAGGACAGATAATCTTGACCAAATCGAACTATACCACAATGTGGGGAGTTTTGGGACAAGAATGGTGACAAAGCTTCAAGATACATATATCTATGCAATATGAAGGTCAAGCAAGAAACTTTATACCTAAAACAAGCCCCAAAGGGTGATATTTCTTCAGATCTACAAGCTCCACACGTTCTTCTTCTTCTTTGACAACTTCCCTTTTCTCCATCAAGCCTTTCTTTTGCCAACACAAGCTTTTCAAGATCAAACACACCCAAATATCAAAGGATACGAGATCTAGGGTTTCTCTGAGGTTGAAGATGAGAATAAGGAAGCTGACACCCAAATATGAGAGGATACGAGATCTAGGGTTTGGGGTTTCTGAGAGTATGTTGGGCGTACCTACCTGGTACGTTGGGCGTACTCACCCGGCCACCCACATCTATTCGCCCCTCTACGCTGGGCGTACGTCCAGCTTACGCTGGGCGTACCCAACCACCGTTCAAAATCAAAAGCATGCATGCATGGGACCATTTCCCTCTTATTCCACAAGGAACTATAAACAATGATCAACTTCGAAGCACCACAACTCCTCTAATCTAAACGCACTCTCAAATAACTTTACATTCATACGAGGGTGATGAGAAGCCCAATACTTCTAACACATACACCTGCCCAAAACCTTCTCGGTTGAAGCTCATTTCTCGAAAGGGACCAAAATTACCCTTCCTAATAATCTCAAGGACTTATAATTGAACACTCAAAGAACAGGGTGTTACAATTCTCCCCCACTTAAATTAGGCTTCGCCCTCGAAGCCTGCGACAACTCTACTCCGAACTAACCCTGCAACGCTCCGCATGGCACTCACCGGACCAGGCTTCCCAAGACACGACCATCGAGATCCGAAACCCAACTTACCTTTCTTGCCGACCGAATGAAACAAGCTTCAGCCCTAGAGCAACTCCCACGAGTTCTCCATCGCAATCATATAACCGCACCAAACTGGCTCTAGTGTCCTCGGGTTAGGAAAACCCCGATACATTGATGACATTTCCAAACACCCTTCCGGATGCATTTTTACCACATAAACAAATCTATCTGAAATTCTGAAATTCCATCCATGCATTCCTGCCGAGCCTCAACAACCATCCAACCCGGATGTGCTCCATACCACTGCTGAAATCTCGCTGCTCAATGTCCATAATTGGGCCACTCCCATCGTAAACCTGCGCTGCTGCTTCCCTTTCTGTGGATTTACATTCCCTTAGCATGACCGCTAACCGTGAGACATACATGTCCTGAACCTGCTCGCAAGGACTCTCGAGTCCATGCACCACCTCTGCTACTCACAATCAATACCCGGAGCCAGACCTCCTAATGCTAACACATCACAACACACCCAACCCATTTCCTCGAATCGATCCGATAATACCTACAGAGTCTTCAACATGACTGTGCCAACTCACCAAGCCTTCAGTTAAACTAGACCACTCTCAAAACCTTCAGCCAATCTGGGCCGCCCTCCAGGGCCTTCAGTCTGGCTGGATTGTCCCCCGAGCCTTCGGTCTGACTGGTACGCCTTTCGGCCTTTAGTCTATCCCGACCGCTTAACTAGCATTCATCATTTCGAGTTATCTCTCAGGGAAATCCTCCCCTGCATACTGTTCTAGCCCCTTAGGGATTCCGAACTCTATCTCTATCATACATACTCGACCCCAGCCTGATCCCAGGTCCTACACAATCAATGCCATATATCTGTAATCCGCCCCGTATGCCTGCTACTCACCCATACCATCCTACTCTCGGCTGAAAGAAATACCGCCGAAACCCAAGTAGCTAAACAACCTCTCAAGTCTATCGCTCATCTGGAGAATTTCCAATTCTACTGCACTTAGGGCACTGACTATCAACTACCAGCTGCTAACACCAACCTCCCAAAATAACCTTGCACAAAACCCAACGCTTACACACAGACTGATTCCCACTAGCACTAGCAACCTTCGCAAAACACATTTCCACACTGATCAATCCGTTCAAAAGTACTCATTCCTTAGCTAACCACTCCTCAGACTGAAGATGCTACCCGACATTCAACCCACACCATATCTCCACTAATCACCTTCACGAATGATAACCAACAATAGCATGAAACACCAAAATATTACCATACCAAACCTTCAGGGAACAACGGATACCATAACGAAAACCCGAAACACTAATCCATAACCATGCCAAACCCTCAAGGAACAACGGATACCAAAACGAAAACCCGAAACACAAATCCATAACCATGCCAAACCCTCAAGGAATAACGGATACCAAAACGAAAACCATCCAATGAGACTAGTAGATAAACAATACTCCACAATAATCATAAATCAACAAGACAACAAGAAAGAAACATACCTGCAGCTGCATCCGGCACTGCTCTAACCTCCTCTGCTCCAAGCTGAAAAGCACGACCCTAAGCCCTTGGGGGCTCCGCTCCACTCTGACCTCCACCCGTGATCCTCAATGTGGCCGGTGCTGGAGCCTGCACCGGTCCTGCAGCAAACTGTGGACAGTTGACCCTCAAGTGTCTAACGTGATGACAATGATAACATATCCTCAAATCTCGAACCGGCACTGACTGCCGACAATCCCTCGCATAGTGCCCCTCCTTTATGTACTTGAGGCATGCACCACCAGACCGAAAAACTTCGGCGTGACCCCTCCCACACTTTCCACAAACGTGGCTGCGCTAATCTCCCATCCTGGAATCAACGGTCTTAGACCGTTTCGTCGTCGGCTGCGACTGAACCGGAGCTTGCCTCAGCTCACGCAACTGCAACTCAATCTCTAACTCACGACGTCTGGCGGCCTCCTGCAACTCCAACAAGGTCTCGCACCTCTGCGCGGACACAAACTATTTGATATCTTCCTTTAGCATACTCAAATATTGGGACATCTGACCCTGCTCCGAAGCGAACTCAAGGAAAAAGATCGCCCTCTCAGTAAACATCCTGGTGATTTCCATCACCGAATCTGTATCCTGCTTCAGCTCCAGGAACTCCTTAGCCAACCTCTCCCTCTCGACCTGCGAAGCGTAATGAGTGCTGAACATCTCTCTGAACTGATCCCATGAAATTGCAGCCCTCTGGACATCCGAGTATGACCCCGTGGTCAATCTCCACCAATCCTTTGCCCCGAGCCTTAACACGTTCAGAGCACACCTCACCCTCTGATCAGCAGGGCATGAACACGTGAAGAAACACCCCTCCACGTCTGATAACCATCTCATAGCAACGATCGGACCCTGAACTCCATCAAAGATGGGAGGCTCTGTATTATCGAAGTCCCGATACTGAAAACCCCTACTAGCTCCTCCCCCTGCCGCTGCTACAGCCGCTGTAGCCGCCGCG